TCTGAATCCCCGAATTTCAATCTGAATTCTTTATTTTGTTTGTGTTTTTTTTAAGTGACAATAAGTTAGATTGAAAATGAGCAAGAAGTTGGTCCTTTATTCAATGTGGTAAAAGTGAAATGGTCACAATCTCTGAAGCTTGTTTACATTTTTGGCAAACATAGCTGTATGTTTTTCAGATGTGCTTATGATGTCATCCCATTTAGAATGAAAACTCCAAGATTCCTACTATTTCCCATAAGTGTTCAAATAAAGAACTTGGAACCCAAGAATTCTCAGAAAATGATGTTTGCTGTCATGTCTCCACTTACATGGAGCTGAAATTTTCTAAAATATGCTGTTGCTCTGCTACAGAATTTAACCAAATTCTATTATAGAATTACTAGGGCACTGAATAAATGTAAACCTATGCCACTTATAGTTTTCTTAAGAAGGGGTTGGTAAACTATGGCCCACAGGCCAAATATGGCCCACTGCCTGTTTTTGTAAATAAAGTTTTATTGAATACAACCACACTCATTTGTTTACCTGTCTGTAGCTGCTTTCCTGCTCCAACAGCAGAGGTGAGTTTTTGTAATAGAGACCATGATCTGGGTTTTTACAGAACAAGATTTCTGACTCTCATTCTAAAAAAATCCTTCAGTTAATCTTAAATGATCCGAATTATGCCTCATGAATGTCCTCAACACGTGATTAGGTGACCACAAGAATGTTGCTCATCTTGCCTGATTTTTTCTTCTTAATCTGTAAAAGGAGAGATTTGTCTGTTGTTTCCAGTGTAGGCATTAGTTCCCATTCTGATTCTTAGCCAATGAGTTGTTTCCTTAGTAAGGTCTGATTATTTCTGAATATTTGGAACATCTGTACCTCTTATGAGATAAGAGAAGCATTGGCAGGGGTCTATGAGGACACTTATGTTCCAAGTCTCCACTTTGCTCCTAACTGACTCAACCTCTTGCACTTTGCTTCTGTAAAATGAGGAGCCTGAACAGATGAGGACTGTGTTTCCTTATAAGAGATAATTATGACCCAGTGTGTGAAGTGCCTCATGGAAAGCCACACTGGCTGCTACAAAAGCCAGAGGAATGGCATCACAACTGGATTTACAGAAGAGAAAAGACTCAGCCAAGTCTGCTTGGAGGAAATGCTCAGTCTTGAAGGATGAGGAGGAATTGGTGCTCCTGGAGAATGAACTGCACAGGAAAGCAAAAAGGCTTCTTACTGACGCCATCATTTTATTTGGCTGACTAGGGAAATATTTCAGCAACTAAATCCCAGGAAATATCTCTCTGAATTCAAGCAGACTCTAATGTGTGCATTACACTCTTCTTCAAGATGTGTATCATTGGAGGTCACACTGTCAGCACCTTTTCACAATATAGTCACCTTTTGGGGGGAAAGGATTTTTCTTTTTCTTTTTCATCAGTTATCTAGGTCCCATCTAATTCTTGAAAAAGACATCAGCTACCCCATGCACAATAGACGTGATGCCCACTGTATAGGACACCAAGACTTCTTGAAAAAATAAAGATCAATCAGAGTTTGGACAGTCGTTCCACACCTCTAGTCGAGGTCAAGGGGTGAGATAACTCTGACTTCAAATGACCTTGACAGTGGGATTAGGCAATATGCTTAGGCAGCAGTGATTTTCACGTGGCTAAGCAATCCAAACATCCACAACAATAGATTCTGAAGGGAGGAAAGTTATCTGAAGTGACCTAGCCATGCAATCTCAGCAATAATGATTCCTAAGTAATCGCTAGCTCTCCCACAATTCCTTCGGTACTGTTGTTGCAAGTAGAGTTCATTCATGCATTCAACAAATTTTAGTGAATACACCTATGTATCAGCACTTTCTGTACACTGGGAATATAGCCATAAAGACATGAGACCAAAAAAACCCTAACTCTAAGGCTGACATTCTAGTGTGTCGTCCTAGTATTGAGAAAAGTGCAATGAGTTTTAAATTCTATCTACTGGGACATATTCCTGTTCTGAACAGGCGCCGAGGGACATTTTCCAAAATGGTCTGAGCCAAACCTGAGCCATCCTTCCTCCTGAGACTTTGTTCTTCCATCATATTCTCTGTGTCGTACAACACACAGGACAGGATAAAGCCAAGACAGGTTGATGCTTGTTCCTAATGCACACTCATTATCAAGCCAAATGACTCCAAAAGCCTGAAAACAGATCTATATCAACACTCTGAACAATGCTCATAACCTTTGAACAACTTCTGGGAATCTTGATTAAAAAAATAATCCTAGTTTCTAAAAAGAATTTAGATGCAAAAATGCACATCAGAGCATTATTTAACCTAGCCAAAAAAAGTAAATGTCCAACTGTAAATGAATGTATAAATAAGTTGCTTTTTATAGGAGATAAAAATAACAAACAGCCATTAAGAAGATATTTACAAAGATTCTATGGTAATGTGGGAAAATACTTATTATAAAATGTTAGGTAATCAAGTAGAACAAAAAACTACATATTCAATATAACAAGCATGTTAAAAATCTACTAAGAAAAATAAAAGGCTTGATGGAAATGTCACGAAACACTTCTAGTTAATATACTCAGATATTGAAATTATGAATATTTTCTATTTTTGTATTTTCCATTGTTTCATTAGTAAAAAAATAATAATTTAAAGCCTAAATATAGTTTTTAAAAAGCAAGGAGAATGAGGTAGCAAGAACAAGTATAAAATAGTTTATCATCTTAGCTAAAAACCTGAAATCTGGATTGATTCAAACTACCTAGGTTTGAACTCTGATTCCTCAAGTTACTGTGTGACCTTGAGGAATAGTGTTCACCTAAATGGGCTGGTAGAAGGATTAGTAGCTGATTCACACAGTGTTTAGCACAGAGTGTAACACCTGGTAAAGTACTCAAAATGGTAACAAATCAACACTCCAGTAGCCTCGAGGAAAGAATTCAAACAAGGGAAAAGGCAGGCAAACATTACATTCTGATGCCTCAGGGACAAATAACTCAGAATTGTGCTTTCAGTAGACAATTTTTCCTCAGGCAGAATCAATTTCCAAATCCTTTACTAATATTTTCAAATTTCCTCTGAAGAAGATGGATAGTATGTAGATATTCATTTTATGGGTAATTACTTCCTTATTTTTTCTTTAAATGTGCTGGTCATAATTTATTGTGCAAAGTGCCTTTTGATTTTAAAAACAAGCCTAAAAATTATGTTAATAGGATTGTCAGAAAACACTGACATTATTCTAAGATGATTCTAATGAATCATTATTCTAATGATTCTAATCATTATTCTAAGATGAAATGCCCTCATAAAAAATATTTATGAGGTGTTTATGGCGCTAACAGACAGTAGTTAACTTGAAGATAAAAGTAGTTGTCCATAAAATCATATTTTTCTGTCAAATGTCTGTTCCAAACTCAGTTAAATCAAAAGCTGGTCTCTTAACTCCTACACCCAACATCCTTCTTTCTGTGCAAATGAAACCATCTAAATCTGCGTGAAATAAAGTGATTGATAACTACCCTGGAACCTTGTTCACAACAGTCTTTTAGTAAATATTTGTTGAAAGGATACAAATTTTAGTTCTTATTGCTTGTCACTACTTATTTTTTTAAAAGAGTGGAATTCAGTTAAGATTGCATAAATATTAAATCTTGACTTATAAAGAAGATCCGGAGGTTAAGAGGGGATTAAGGAAAGAGAGGTTGAAATTTATGTTTCTGACACTTCCTTCCCTCCCAAAATGAGGCATCATTTTTTCTCTACGAGAAGATTATGCCTTTCAGCTTCCAGAGGCATTCTTTACCCTAATTTCCAATCTAAATTTCCTTGCTCTTTTGACCCTAGGAATACTCCATTCAAAATAAGGTAGTGCTTCTGTTCAAGGTTTTGATTTGGTTTGGCAACTTTTCTCTGTCCACGGACTGTTATCTCCTACTTAAAGTGGTGATAAGGCCCGGAACCACAGAGGTACCTAGGCTCAGATTTGAATCTTGCTGGGCACTGGCTGTATCATCTTCCTTCAATCACATAACCTTACTCAGCCTGTCTCTTTGTAAAGTAGGCATAATAAATACATATCTCACAAGGTTACAATGGGGCTAAATGAGATCATAGTAAATGACTGGGCACGATAGGCAATAATGTGTTCTTCCCTTTTCCCGTGAGACTTTATTGGGGCTCGACAGTCTTCCTCTGAATCCTTACATCCCTTGGTCTCCTTCCTGTCTTTCCTTCCCAGACGAGGACGCAAGGTTCTCCTGAACTCGTAATTTTTAATGGAGAAAAGCATTTCAGCTCTAAGTTAACTTTGTCCCACTCATATTTCAAGTCCTAGGGAAACTGGAGAGGCAGATGAGTTGGCGATGAGCTTGTTCCCTTTGGGGTGGGGCCTAAGAAGTGGGGCTCTGGCTTAAGCCAGTGGAATCCCAATATCTTCCCTTTCCCACCTCTGAAGTCCGGAGCCCGGATTCTGTCCACCTCCCTCCTCAGACCAACAAAGGCTAAGTCGATCAGAACCCCTGAGCTGAGCTTCCTTCAAGAGGTGCCAACACTAAGACTCTTCCAAGATCCCAGAACCAACCTGCCCCCACCCTGCAAGGGAAAGGTGAAAAAAGAAAGAGACGTGGGGGCGGGTGGCGAGGTGCCCCAGAGAAGCGCAGACTGCACGCAGGTGGACAGGGAAGCGTCCTGGCCAATAGCTCTGCCCAACCTGAGCTTTCCAGCTGCCTCCTGCCCGCGGGGCCTCCTCTCCAGCAGCCCGAGGATTTGGGGGAGGATTTGGGGCCGCTGAGAGGGGCGCGGGGCCCGGGGAAGTGAAGGTCGCGTCTGTCCCGCGGCCGCTTCCCAACTCGCCAGCATGCAGCCCCCAGCCCGGCCCCGGTGCCCGCCCGCCGCTCCTCGCAGCCGTCCGCGCTGCGTCCTCGGCGTGCGCGCTGCGCTCTCCGACGCCGGGAGCCGGGCAGTGCGCTGCGCTTGGCGCCGGCCGGGGGAAAAACACTACCTGTGGAAGTAATGCGCGCAGAAGAGGCCCAGAAGCACAGTCCCAGGCAGTCCGAAGAGGGAGCAGGGCTGCCAGGCGAGGATCCCCGCGGGCACCGCGAAGGCGGGCAGCTCCTGCAGGAACCAGGCGGCACCGGCGGGCAGGCGGGTAGCCGAGGGCGTCAGGCTCTCGGTGTACTTCCCGTAGCCGGAGGGCTTCGCGAGGTACAGCGTCAGTGCCCCCAAGGCAGCTAAAGTGGCGCTGCCTGCCAGCACTGGGCTCTGCTGGCACCGACCCGGCATCGTGCCGCGTTCCCCGCCAGTGGCTGCTGCCCACGTACAGGAGAGCGCGTACCCCACGGCCCCTTTATGTAGCTCGAGACACCACCCTGTGTCCGCCCCTTCGGCCTGGGCTCCCGCCCCTCCATCCTGCCTCCCACCTCAGCGCGGCCCGGGCTCGGCTCAGCAGCGATGCCTTTGTTCCAGGGCTGGCGCTCTGGGACGCGCGGAGGACGAGGGCTTTCGTGGTGCCAAACGGTGTCCTGGGCCCCCGCCTCCGCCCGCGCGCCCGTCCTCTCCACCACTTTCCACTCGTCTCCCCTTAGGCTGCCCCTCGATGACTTGCCCCTCACCCATCAACCTCTGATGTTGCAAATTCTGAACTAAGAAACAGGAAGACAACCCCACTGGGACTGGACGATCCAGCTGGGATCATTCTCCCGCCCCAACACACACCCTCTGGGCCATGGCCACGCGGCCCCCACCCTCAAACCCCGAAGCCGGGATCTCCCTGACCCCTTGTGTTCCTTAGCCACTTCACTCCCACCCAGCCCTGCGGCCTTTCTTTGACCCTGGGCGGGAGGTCGTGGGGCTGCAAGCGTCCGCCAGCCCCTGTGCTCTGGGGCGCCACGCTCCTGAGCCACTCGGCATCAGTGCCAGCGCTGCCCCACCACACCCCCCAGGCAGGTTCCAGCCTCTCCCGGGCCCTCCCCGCGTGCGTCCCTGGGCCATTCGCCTTGGTCAAAGAGGCCCGTCAGCTGAGCTCCGGTGCTGACGCACGGATGGGGCCAGGACTGCGGTCCCGTCTGTTCGCCCCAGACTCGGAGTGGCCCAGACTCAGGCTAAACTCTAGGGCTTATCCCGCGGGATGCTCTTTCCCAGCTCCTGGAGCCACTGAGCCGGGTTCCCTGAGGTGGTGGCATTGGTGATGCCGCTGCTTTCTGAACCGGGGTCTAGCCATGGCACATCCAGACGCGGTTCTTCCTCTCTTGCGTGTCCCGCCTTTATCTCATCCTCCACCCTTTCGTTTTCCTACCTCTCCCCTTTCTTGATTCAGCATCCAGGTTTCCTTGGCTGCCTCCTCCTCTGTTTTCTACCCCTTCTTTTTCCTTCTTCCTTCTTCCCTCTACCTGGCTTTCTCCTTGCGGATTGACCTCCTCTTCCCACCTGATGTTCACCTCACTTTTCCATCTTCTTGTCCCACTTTCCTTGATTACTTTATCCCTGTTTTCTCCTCTGGCCCCTACTTGGGGCTCCACTTCAGTCCTTCTCGCGTTTCACTCTCCCCTTGCTTTGGAGCTTTCTTCTTCCTTCTCCCTTAGCTCCAACTCGTCACCTCTCAGGAAGTCCAGTTGGTATTTCCCCAGCACTCCTGACCGCCATGCCAGCTGTTCCGGTGAAAGGCACACTCCCTCATCTGCTCCAGTTTGGGGTTATCTCCTGACTCCTGGGACACCTGGCATAGGGTGATGCTTTAGTGCTACAGGGCATCCTCTGCTTGCTGACCAAGAGGTATTTATCATCTCCCTGTTGGGTTAAAAATTAAATATTCACAGTAATCATGCTTCAGTTTTTAATTGATCGTGACATACAATCACCCCTATGAATGAAGTATTTTCCATAGAATAACCAGGTGTCAGCCACCACAGCTGTCTCCAGCTGTCTTTGCACTGGCTTTACAGTGCAGGTCGAATCCCAGCTTCCTCAGCTACTACCTGCTTATTGAGGACGCCCAAATCTAGATCTGCAGCAAAGACCTGAGCTGAGCTGCTGAAAAACTTCACTTTGAATGCCCTTCAGAGATCTCAAAATCACCATCCTGCTCAAAACTGAGCCCATTTATCTCTCCCTCCACCCCACCGACACCCAAATCCTCCCTCTATGTTCCTGGTTGTTACCTCTTCTCTCAATAGCCACAGCCTCCCTGGAAAGCCGGCTTGTAGACCCGGGAAACTGAAGATCCCATGATGCCATGCAGCATTATGAGAACAAGCAATGTGACATTTCCAACCCAGTTCAATGGAATAACTTTTTTTAAATGAAATTTCTCCTGTCTCAATTTCCTCCTCTTTAAGTGTCTTCTAACTTTGCCCAATTTTGGTCTTCATTATCTTTCTTCCACTACTTTACCAGTTAGCTTTTGCTGAGTAACAAACCACCTTAAAAACCAATGATGTAATAAAACCAATCATCTTCAGCTTATGCATCTGTGGGTTGGCTCAGGCATCAACTGATCCAAGCTGGACTTTGCTGATCTTGACTGTGCTCATTTATTCACCTGTGGAGCAACTTAGAGCCCAGCTCCAGGCAGAAATTCATAACTGCACTACAATAAATGGTAAAGAAAGTTCTTCTGGCTGAAAGGAAAACATATCTGATGAAAACATGGCTCCTCAGCAAAAAAAAAAAAAAAAAAAAAAAAAAAAACACATAGAGCATCAGAAATGGACATCAGGTAAATGCAAAAAAAAAAAAAAACTATTTTTGCCCATTTCTTCTTAATATTCTTTAATCAATAAGTTATAGATTGAATGGTTGTGTCCTCCAAAATTCACATGATGAAATCCTTATCCCCAAAGTGATGGTTTTAGGAAGTAGAGCTTTAGGGAGGTAATTAGTTCACGAGGGTAGAGTCTTCATGAATGGCAATAGTCCCCATATAAGAAGAAAGATGATCTCTCTCTCTCTACCTCTCTCCCCTGCCCCCCACTCAGTGTAAGGATACAATGAGAAGAGAGCCATCTACAGAAAGATGTGCCTTCACCAGATACTGGATCTGCTGGCATCTTGATCTTGGCATTCCCAGACTCTAAAACTGTGAGAAATAAACATGTTGTTTAAGCAACCCAGTCTATAGTATTCCATTGTAGCACCTTCAACTAAGACACTATATAACTTTGTATAATTGTATTATAGCATTGTTTTATAAAATTTATAATGTACATTGATGCACCACATATACAACGATAACATAAAGGACAGAGAGATATGAATTTATAAACTTTCAAGATTTCTATTTTTTATGTGAAATAATGCATTACAGCTATATCTACACAGTGAAAGTTTTAATGTATATTGAAATCCCTAAGGCACCCTTACTAAGGCACCCTTATAAAAATAACTACAAATTCAACAGAAAATTAAGACAAAATCCAAAAAATAATCAAATATACAAAGGGGGAAAGGAAAGGAGTAACAGAACAAAACACAGAAGAAATGAATGGTTGGAATTGCTTAAAAGAGCACTATCTCTATGTTCAGATGACATGATCTTACTCATAAAACACTAAAAATAACTATTAGAACTAATAAACAAATTCAGCAAGATTATAAAATACAGGATCAATATACAAAATCAATTGTATTCCTATATACTAGCAATGAAAATCTGAAATAAAATTACAAAATACAATTACACAATCCATTTACAATAGCACCAAAGAGAACAAAAACATAGAAATTTAACAAAAGTAGTGCAAGCAGGGGACAATTAATCCAGGGTACTTGGAAGTAGCTGCCCCACCTCTGACAGAGTGTCTAGTATACCCAGGATTCCATGGAGCTTGGGGCTCACACCTTTCCCTCCAAAAAGCACACAGCACTTTTGTGTGCCTAAAGTATAAAAGCTACTGTCTCCCCTGAGGGAGGGAAAAGCTAGCAGTACTCTCCTTGAGCTGCCCATCTCTTCTGGGAGGGGCCTACCCTCCCTAGAGGCAAGTCCGTGGCATAACCACACCTCCCCTGCTGGTGCATTTCAGCCAAAGCCCACAGCCAGTCTGGTAGCCCTGTACACAGTGGGTTGAGCTGCCTCGACCACCTCTGCTGCAGCTGGGCTGAGGTGGGAGCTGGGAATCTGGGCACTTTTGTGCCTCCAAAGGACAGACACTGCTGTCACTGCTGAGAAAGGTAATACGAGTGTCTGTGTGTCCCACAACTGCCTGCCTTGCTAATCTCAAGAGGGGTCTACCCCTCCTGTCACAGGCTCACATTACATCCACCCCACTCCTGCCTGAGCATTCTTCTGGAGCAGAAGATCACCACATCCTTCACTATCACAGCCAGTGCCTGAACCCAGGGAGGGCAAGTTTGCCAGCTCAGTTTTGGTCTGGTCCCTCCAGGATTCAAGCATGCCATCCAGGGTCCTGGGAACTGGGGAATACTTAATCTAGTACACAACTTCTGGTACCTTAACACTCTCCAAGAGGTCTGAGGTCCAACCGACCCAAATTGTCAGCAATACCACAGTGGGTACCCACCTTCCCAAGCCAAAAGGCAGTGTACCTCATCATCTCTACTGAGCAGCAGAGTTCCTAGCAGAGAGAACACGTGAATCACAAAGCTCTCTGTTTTGAGCTGAGGGAAGATGAGAAACCAGAATAAGAACTCTGGCAATATGAAAAAGCAGGCTGTTTTGATATCCCAAAAAGATCACACCAGTTCTCCAGCAATGGATTACAACCAAAAGGAAATTTTTGAAATGTCAGATATGGATTTCAAAATATGGATCTCAAGTAAGGTTGATGGGATCAGTGAGAAAGTTGAAAATTAACACAAAGAAACCAAAAATATAATTTAGGACATGAATGAAATATTCAATAAAGAGATAGATATTTTAAAAAATAACAGAACTGGAAATGAGACAGTCATTTAGAGAATTTCAAAATATAGTGGAAAGTTTTAACAACAGACAAGAAAGAATTTTAGAGCTTGAAGATAAGGCTTCTGAATTAACCTAGTCAGTCAAAAAAGAATAAAGAGAAATGAAAAAAGTCCCCCCAAAATATGGGATATGTAAAATGTCCAAAGAATAAGAATCATAAGTATCCATAAAGGAGAAGAAGAAAAAACAAAGAGCATGGAAAACCTATTTGAGAGAATAATGGAGGAAAACTTTGCTAGAGACTTAAACATCCAGATACAAGAAAGTCATCAAACTCCTGGAAGATTCATTGCAAATAGGACATCACCAAGACTCATCAGTCTGGTCAAAGTTAAAGTGAAGGAGAAAATGCTACAAGCTATGA